GACCCATTTCTTTTCCAGTTCCTGCAAAGTTTGGCCCTACTTACACCGAGGCCAATGACTGTCCCATTGCAAGATGAATTTCCACTTCCAAGTATTTCTGTACAATTTTTGATGGAAAACAGAGTTATTTGTTTTCCTTTCAGGCAGAGTAAGAATCTCTAATTCTTCTCGATATTGCCGAGGAATGCTTGACATGCCTTAGTTGCAGGGTGCCAGTTTAAACAACTGATGCTCAAGTAGGGATTTATTTCAGTTTTCAAATGCAGAGGAAGAGTGATGTAGGGGAGAATGAGAGAGACTCAAAACATCTTTTTGTCATCTTCTTTGTGGTTGTTTGCTTGTAAGAATTCATGCAATTTCAGCAATATGTTTTATCCTGTATAGACTACTGCAATGTCCTCTACGTGAGGTTGCCTTTGAAGACTGCTTGGAAGCTTCAAATGGTCCAGCGGGCGGCAGCCAGTTTAGTAATGGGAGCAGTGCTCAGGGAGCACACAACTCCACTGTTGCGCCCCAGTTTGCTACCAAGCACAATTCAAAGTGCTGTATTTGGCCTATAAAGCCCGAAATGGTTTCGGCCCAGCTTACCTGTCTGAACGTATCTCTCCTTATGAACCATCCAGGAATCTGAGATTGTCTGAGGAGGCCCTGCTCTCATTCCCACCTTCATCGCAGGCGCGCTTGGCGGAGACGAGAGACAGGACCTTCTCAGTGGTGGCCCCTCGGCTGTGGAACTCCCTTCCCAAGGATATTAGATCGCCCCCCCCTCTCTCCTGACCTTTTGGAAAAGAGTAAAAACCTGGCTCTTTGAGCAAGTTTTTGGAAACACGATGTAATTTGATAAACACAGTATGATGAAATAAGAAACTTGGAATGGCTTAGACCAAGGGTCCTCAAACCTTTTAAACAGAGGGCCAGGTCACAGTCCCTCAAACTGTTGGAGGGCTGGATTATAATTTGAAAAAAAATGAATGAATTCCTATGCACACTGCACATACCTTATTTGTAGTGCAAAAAACACTCAAAAACAATACAATAATTTAAATTAAGAACGGTTTTAACAAATATAAACTTATTAGTATTTCAATGGGAAGTGTAGACCTGCTTTTGGCTGATGAGATAAGATTGTTGTTGTTATTGTATGCTTTCGAGTCGTTTCAGATTTAGGTTGATCCTGAGCGAGGGCCGGGTAAATGACCTTGGAGGGCCCCCATCTGGCCCCCAGGCCTTAGTTTGAGGACGCCTGGCATAGACAACATAAAAAAGGATAAGGAGTTGAACTGGAAGACATGGACTATATAATTTTAATTGGTTTTATTTGAATTTTTATTGTGTAATATTAAATGTTACACAATAAAATGTATATATATCTATGTTGGGGCATCTAATTGTTGCCAGTCTGTACTGCCCTGAGTCGCCTTCAGGCTGAAACGAGCAGGATAAAAAGGCAGTAAATAAATGAAGAAATACTTCAATAAAGATTATTTAAATAAATAAATAAATAAATAAATAAATAAATAAATTATACCCACTTATCCAGCAAGCAGGACAAAGCTTTGAGTGATTAACTGCACCCTCCCGGTGAGACCTTATGAATCCAAACAGAACCATGGACTGGGCATATCACAGATAGCGATGTATCATGTATTTTGCTCTTATTTGTTCCATGTCCTTCACAGTGCTCTTTGCGAACTTTTCCCCCATGCTACTGGATTTTTAACTAGAAGATAGCTTGACAACAGTTCATGTTACCACTGTGGCCCCTTCTACACTGCCATATAGTCCGGATTATCAAATTATAATCCACATGATCTGCTTTGAACTGGATTATGTGAATCTACACTGCCATATAATCCACTTCAAAACAGATAATCTGTATTTTATATGGCATTGCAGAAGGGGTCTCATGCCCCCCTAGTGGTGCAGCGGGTTAAACTGCTGAGCTGCTCAACCTGCTGACTGAAAGGTTAGTGGTTCGAATCCAGGGAACAGGGTGAGCTCCTGTTGCTAGCCCCAGCTTCTGCCAATGCAGAAGTTTGAAAACATGCAAATGTGTGTAGATCAATAGGCACAGCCTTGGCAGGAAGGTAACAATGCTCCATGCAGTCATCCTGGCCACATGACCTTAGAGGTGTCTATGGAAAATGCCAGCTCTTTGTCTTGGAAATGGAGATGAGCACCACCTTCCGAGTCGGACACAACTAGGCTTAATGTCAGGGGAAGCCTTTACCTTTTAAAAGGGGTCTCAGTCTCCCCCAATGTGCAGCTCTGGTAACATTATATAATGAACATAGTGTGCTGACATTCATTAAAATCACAGGTTTAGTTGAGCGGATATTGTGGGATTTTCTGCCTTGTGCTGAATTAATTTGATATTGGAAAGACCTGGTACTTCCTGAAAGACCTGGGTCGAATCCAGTATGGCAGTTGTCTGGATGCAGGCCTGTAGCCAGGATTTCAATTGGGGGGGGGGCTGAGTTTGTTTTGGGGGGGGGGCTGAGTCTGAGTGAAAGAGGGTCTACCCTAGCAAACCTTTTGTATCGTTACCCCAATACATATACAATGACAACAATGACAAACCCTTTCTGAATAAACCTTGGAAATTGAACCTAAGGATGGTTTCACTTTGAGGTCACCATAAACTGGAAATTATTTGATGGCACATAAGGAAAACAGAAATAATGATAAATGTCTGAATCAGGGTGTCTGCATTTACATTCAGTTGCCATGGCTGCCCTGTTGTTGTTTTTCCTTGCATCTATTTTGAAAAGAAGCAAAAAAGTCACATTTAAGCCCAGACTTTATTTGGTAGCATACTGAAATTAATTAACAAGCCCAATGAATTAATTGCTTGTGACAGCACTTAGAAAATAATGAGCAACAGACAGGGGTTTTCTCTCCCAAACTATTTCATGATGGAAACATCATAAAATATTTCCATGTAAATCACATGGGTCTCTCTTTTTTGCAAGTATTATTTTTTTAAAAAAAAAATCTGCAATTAGTGGTAAACCTAAATTTCATTCTATAAATAACGACTGACACTGCTATTTTGTCTTATGAGACATGCTTGGCATTTAAACCCATAAATTTCTCTAGAGAGCTACCTGGCTTCTCTGCAAAAATTGAAAGAAAAAGATTTCAAATATTGTTACGGACTTTGTTGGGGCCCAAGAAAACAGGCAAATGATTGCCTCATTGGGACATACCTTCAGGGTGATTCAGGATCGCCTTGTGCGGTTCCACCAGATCCGGACAATTACAACTTTATATTTAGAAACCAAGAACCTGTCTAGACAAGTGTTCAGTATCTTGAAATATGGAGCTGAACTTTCCCAGTACATAATAACCCACATTCCGTGGGGGAACTGTTCTCAGACTTCGTGTATCCACGGGAGGACTTGGACTGTATTTCCCATGAATTCAGGGGTTGTACTATAATACAGAAATGTGAATTGAACACTAGCAGCCTCATTCTGCCACTTAAAGATTCTTCCATTTCATTCTGCTGCTATGTTGATACCCTAAACAAGAAATAATGTCTGTATATGAGACTACCAGTTACATGTCGACCTATGGAGACCCCATGGATTTCATAGGTTTTTCCTAGGCAAGAATACTCACCAGTGTTTTTGCCAGTTCCTTTCTCCAAAATATAACCTACAGCATCATGTATTTAATGATGGTCTCCCATCCAAACACTAACTAGGCATGGTTTCCAAAATCAGATGAAATCTGGTGCCTTAGGGCAGCATTTCTCAACCTGGGGGTCGGGATCCTAGTGGGATCTCGAGGGGATTTCAGAGGGATTGCCAAAGACCACCAGAAAACATATATTTCTGATAGTCTTAGGAGCCCCTTTGGCAGAGAAGGCTGAAGATCTTTCCGCCCGTCCTTATCTTCCTGTTTGGAAACAGATGGCAAATCCTCCCACCAAAAGCCCTCCTCTGCTGTGATCTGCTGGCGTCTCAGCCAAGGGGAGGGCTGTTTCTGAGACTCCAAGTGGGAAGGGCTGAGCAGCAATACTTGGTGCATGGAAGCATGGTGCGCATGTGCAGGCGAGGGAGAATGTGCGAGGAGGGAGGGAGGCTCGTGCCAGCGAGTCCCTTGAAGGCATGGGGGTTATGTGTGAGAAGTTTAGCTCATTTCAAGGTCCCCCCCCCCAAACTCTACCAGTGTTCACATTTGGGCATATATTCGTACCAAGTTTGATCCAGATCTATCATTGTTTGAGTCCACTGTGCTCTCTGGATGTAGATGAACTACAACTCCAAAACGCAAGGTCAATACCCACCAAACCCTCCCCCCCCCCCCCCGAATTGAAATCCTGGCTATGGGCCTGGTGTGGAGCCACCCCTACATTATCTACTTATCCCAGATTATTTGGCAATGTAGACTCATACAATCAAGTTCAAAGCAGATAATCTGGGATTATCTCTTCTATATATAGGGCAGCATAGATCCAGCCTGAGATAGCAACACCTTTGCTTTCGGATCATTGAGTGTATCCAAATGTGGTTTTGTGCACAAAATGATTAAAAACATGGCATGAAATTACCATCAAGCTATAAGGCATAAATAAACAAATTCTGTGTTTAGACTGGGACCTTATTATGGAGGTACATGCAAATGCAGATATTACAGAATCTGAACTTTCAGTTCCTGAGTATTTCCAACACCCAGCCTGTATTCAGGTCCAATCTTCTTGCAGGGCTGTGCTCCACGATTAAGGAATGCCGAATGTATGTCCCTCCTCCATTCCACAGCAGAGGGACAATCCTCTGCAAACAACATACATACATACCTATAAATAATCAAGAGATAAAAGGGAATTGATTCCCCGTTGTCTTTGTCCCAGTGCAGCGTGCTGCAGTTCAAATTTCCTTTTTCTTTTTACTGTTTTCTTCACTACCAATGCCTAAACTTGGACTCAAGGGCTGGAAATTTTGTGGGAAGGCGGGGGCAGCAGGGAGAGTGCAGAGTCTGGGCTAGAATTCCAGAGGAAGTCGAGGGCCTCCAGTTTTGCACAGGAAGCAATCTTGGAGCAGACCTTAAATGCCAGATTCCAGGCAGAGTTTAACTAACCACTGACAGCTCTGTAAACAAAGCAGGGACAAAAAGAGAACAGCTTTCCCTTTTCTGGTAGTCATTTAAAGTCTGAGGGCCTGCAGGAGAAATTCTCCTATATTTGTCTCGATAGGATATAAACCAAAGGCCGAAAGACCTTGCATATGAAGGAAGCTATAAGGGGAGGAAATATTTCATGGAGTAAAACCTCAAGGAGAAGAAGGTAGGTACAGATTTAAACTGTGGACTCTGCAATGTAGGAATCAAGCCCCCTCCCCAAGAAACGTCAGCTTAACTTTATAAAGGAGGATTTATTGCAAAATTGCTTTCGACTGGGTGGTATTTTGAACGTCAGTTTCTGTCACTTTTCATTCTCTCCTTCCTTTGCTTTCTCCCACCCAAAATGTCTCTTTTTAGTTTTGGGGCTAACAAGGCAAAACACCCACCAAGTTTGAGATAATATTTTGCCAGTTTTTTTTTTAAATGCAAAGCGTCCACTTCTTTTTGTAAGTCTGCAATGGTACAGTCATGATGTTAAGAATTACTTGGCCTCATTCACAGTTCCCGTCACCAAAGTAATGTTCAGAAAAATATATACTTTTTACATTTTTATACTCAGCATGTGCTTAATGATTATATATGTATGCATTGCTTTCCTGACAGTTATGCAATTTTAGCAAAAAATCCAATACATTATTAAAAGTCATTTTTTAAACCACCCGTTCGCACTTATAAAATATTCGAGTTTAGCTTTAAAGCACAATGCCTTAATTTGCAGTTAGGGAGATGGAGTCCAAAATCGGTTGTATATATCTTACTCTCTGCGTAAGGAAATCTAATTACTCTGTTACTTCTAGAGAATTCATTTTATTAGGAGATCTGAATTTGAGGACTGCTTTTAAAAGGGAAGAAACAAAGTTAATTTGTTTCCCTGTTCACTGGAGACACCTTTCATAGACTTGTCTAGTTCTAACTTATTTCCCACTCTCCTTGTCTGCCTTTTCTTGTTTTAGGAATTCAGTCTGATTTGGGGCTTTCACCAAGTCTGAATATACACCATGGATGACTTTGAACGTCGCAGAGAACTCAGGAGGCAGAAACGAGAGGAGATGCGCCAAGAAACCGAGAGGTAATAAATACCAACATTTTTATTTGGAAGTGTCGCCCATGGTTTTATTTTAAATTTTATTTTAAATTACCATTGTCCTTGAGTTTTCTATTAGTTGATCATAGGCATGTGATTTAGCAGACTCTGCTGGCAAGATATTTTGCACTGATTATTGTAAACGTCATTTGTAGAATTCTGGGGATTTTAGTTCAGTGAGGCCGTTAAAGGCTCCTCCCTAAACTACAAACCCCAGAATTCTGCAGGAGGCAGAAACTGGATTTCAAGTGGATTTTTTTTCCTCTAGTGTGATGATGGAAATGAATTACTGAAAGGGAGGGGGGTACAGAAAAGAGAAATAAATCTGGTGTTTATAGGCCTTATTAGGGGGAGAGCAGGAGGAGCTGAAAATAGCCATATTTAAAGTGTCTAATTACTGTCTTGTAGGCGCAGTTGTGTTGGAAGAGCTTACAGGGAAATTATAGGGTGTTTGAATAGAAGCTCTTTGGGAACATTTTTAATGTGTTCTAATGGCATATTTTGTAACAGCAAATAGCATTAGGTATTATTAGTGGATATAATTTTTAATTTTAGTGTAGTCCTTTCAGCCTGAATTCTATGGAATTACTGCTTGCTTGCTCTTACTTGCTTCATATTACATTGGTGGAAAGGGCAGCAAAATTGGGTTCTGAAATATTTATACCAAGGATAGGCACCTGATGGGCTGCCATCTGGTGCCAGCAGAGTACCTAATCCCATAGGAAGCCTTCCAAAGTAGGGGCTGCCAGCACTTGCCCATCACCTGAGACCCAGGCAGAGGGTTCTTGTGTGTGTGTTTGCATATGTATATGCCTTTCAGTTGCATGGAGACCCCATTAATTTTGCAGGGTTTATATTATTTAAAAATGCAAGGATTGTTGTATGCTCTGAAGTACAGCCTTCAGCACCTAGTATTCCTTGGTCCTCTTCTTTCCACCGCTGACCTTGCTCAACTTCTAAGATCACATGGAATCTGGTGCCTTTACTGTATTTTCACAGCAAAAGACTTTCCTCCATTTCTTTAATACAGGTTGAATATCCCTTATCCAAAATGTTTGTGACTGGAAGTGTTCCTTATTTCAGATTTTGAAGTAGAATACATTTTTAAAATAGGCTCCGTGCCTCATTTATTTGCTACTTGTGTTGTGTATAAGAAGTGAGGCTGAAGAGAGACTGAGGATCTGGCACCCACTTTCTTGTTTGTGACAATGGCAGTCTCACTCCTGCTTGTTCCTTTGAGTCTGTAGCTGCTGCACTCCTAATTTGTCTTTCACATCCTTAGCCCCACTGCAGGCTCACATCAGTGCAAGGCTGCAGAGAGACTGAGAATCTGAGAGAAGAACTAGCACAGTGGTTCTCAACCTGTGGGTCCCCAGATGTTTTGGCCTTCAACTCTCAGAAATCCTAACAGCTGGTAAAGTGGCTGGGATTTTTGAGAGTTGTAGGCCCAGGGCCATAGCCAGAGAGGGGGTTTCGGGGTGGGGGAGGAGGAGTTAAGGGTTGAACCCCCCCCAAACCCTGGTTTACTCATGAATTTTAACTAGTTAACTAGTTTATGCGTAAATCAGGTTTTTGACACATTTCAGGGCAGAGTTGAACTTTTAACCTCTCCCCCCCCCCCCCGCTACAGCCCTGTGTAGGCCAAAATACCTGTGGACCCACAGGGTGAGAACCACTGAACTAGCAGAAGCCCACAACCACTTCCACTTGTTCAGTTTTTGGAAGGTTTTGAATTTCTGGATGAGGGAGGTTCAACCTGTACTGGGAAGAGCAAATGAAGTTATGCCGGAGTTATATCTTTTGCACAGGTGCCAAGAGGATGCCAAATGAGGTAATGGAGCCATTTGTCTCTGCCTGTGAATGCTAAGCCAATGAAGGAAGCAAAGGCACCTTGCCTTTGAGTCTTTGTTCAGGGCAACATATAGCTTTTGTATGATTTGACACTTGGGTATTTTATGTTCTGCAGCCTAAGTTTTGGAAGGCTGGATATGTTACCTTTGTCAGTTTCCTCAGATTCGTTGAAAGGATGTGACCAAGCTCCTAGCTGAGACAAGTCTATTGTTGTGGTGTGGTGTACCTTTAAGCTGTTTCTGATTTATGGCAACTCAAGGGCAAACCTATCATGGATTTTTGTGGCAGGTTTGTTAAGAGAGAGCTTCCTCTGAAAGTGACCCACTGTGTTTCCTTGCCCAAGTGTGGATTTGAAGTCTGGTATCTCAGAGCCCTAGTTCAATACTCATAGAATCATAGCATTGGAAGAGACCACAAGAGCCATTCACTCCAATTCCTTGCCATGCAGGAACACACAATCATGCCACACTGCTTTGAGATAAATGTGTACTGAATGTGTAGTGATGCCTTTAAGCCAGTGGTTCTCAACCTGTGGGTCCCCAGATGTTTTGGCCTTTAACTCCCAGAAATCCTAAAAGCTGGTAAAATGGCTGGAATTTTGGGGAATTGTAGGCCAAAATATCTGGGGAACCACAGGCTGAGAACCACTGCTGTCAGGTAATGGTAGGTTGATGTGTTTCAAGTAAGGTGCTCTTTGTGTGACCCCTATTCACTCAAGTTCCCCTTTGCAGCTGTCGTTTCAATCTTTTCCTCTTGACCCAATTGGCACCAGACCCCTTAGACAGTATGTGTGTGTGTGTGAAAGAAATAGAAAGAGACAAAAAACAGATCAAGGCACATAGACATTACCCCTTCTTCTCACTTTTTTCTCTTCTTGGTCTCTTGGAGAGCACAGATGATGTGACTACAGTGGCACAGTGGAAGATCAGGATAATCAACAGGTTCTGGTTTTGGTAGAGTGAGCCTAATTCGGATATGACTCCAGCATTAGCCAGATAGTATTGATGTGCTGGATGTACTTATTCCTCAAGAGAGGTAAATGATAGAAATAAGACAGGGACATAGTTACCTGTGGCATGTGCATTTGTCTCATGGCATTGAGATATGAAAATTATTGTAAGATGCCAAATCTGTAAAAATGGGTTGATTGGAAAGCATGAAGCTTTTGTGGTAGAAAATCATAACCAACTACTTACTGAAAATAGAGACATTTTGCTGCCCCTAACAATTTAGGATGAAAGAAGACATTAGAAGTGATACAGAGATATGGGTACTCTGTATCCTTTTCTGGTAACATCTGGTTTAATGTGGTTTATGATGCAACATTCTTGTACAGTATGACCTCCTGTATCCACAGCAATGATATTCATGGTTTCATTTATCCACATTCATCAAAATATGTCCTCTCTAGACATTTTCCAGACCCTCCAATGCAGTGGTTTCCAACCTGTGGTCGGTGGATCACCAGTGGTCTGCAAGAACTAAAATATAGTCTGTGACCTTACCATTACTTCACAGTTGCAATGGGAGCAACTGGTCTCGTGAAACCCTCTTATAGTGCCAAGGCTGATTAAATATAGTTTTCTGAGGGTGAGCAGATGATGTCTACTGGATGGCATATGTTTTGTATTAGAAACTCGAGCTGATGTGGTCTATCCAATGCAATTTTCTGAATCCGCACCCCAAATAACCAAACCGAATCTAAAGTTGACCAAAAACTTATTCATAACCCTTTTGGTACTAATGTTGGAGAGTGGTCCCTGCTCAAAGTTGTCCTTGATAAAGTGGTCCCTGGTCAAAAAAAGTTGGGAACGACTGCTCTAATGTGGCTCTATGGTATTCTTGGGCCAGAGGTCCTTCATCTCAATAGTGTTGTTCATGTTGATCCATACGAAGTCTAGAAATGTATCCCTTACAGATATGTGGGGTGGTAGGTATCATACTGTGCATTTCCTTGTGCTTGCCTCACATCATTGACTAATTGAACAAGGAAATGTATGAAATCTAGAACTTGGGACACTACGTCTTTTGGAGTACAACTGCCCTACTCCCCCAATGCTTTTTTGGGGAGTTATAGTAAAAATGTTTCATATCTAAATTTTTGTAGTTTTTTATTTACATACATTAACAACTTACAGTGTAAACAAAACACAAAACAGTGAACATTTTACAAATACATAACCCCACCACCAAGGCTTGAACAAGTACCCTTTCCTTGCCAGAAACTTATAAATCAAATTAATCAAATGTCATACCCAAAATTCCTGACCAACAAGGTTATTGTTTTCCATTTTCACTCTCTAAAGCATATTTAATAAAAACCGACTAGTATGCATCAAAATCTGATCTGTTTGATTTCCCCCCTGAATGCCCTCATTTCCATTGTTTATCATTTAAGGCTACGTTCCATACCTCCCTATACCATGCTTCTGGTGTAAGATTAGTTAATATTTTCCAATTCCGTGCGATTATAATTCTTGCCACTGTGAATAAAATAATCACAAATTCTTTCTTTTCCATTTCTTAATTCAACTTTGTGGCATCCATTAGTAATGCTAACCTAGCATCCGGAGTAATATTTAATCTTATACTATTACCTATTTTGATAAATATATCATTCCAAAAACTCTTCAATTGGGGGCATTCCCACCATAAATGAAAACATGTCCCCTTGTGTATGCCACATCTCCGGCAGAGGTTGCTTTGCTTGCTATCCATCTGATGTTGTTTACCTGGTGTGGCATACCATCTCCATATAACTTTGTACACATTTTCTTTTAATCTTATTGATAGATTCTTATTCTAAATTCTGATGTTATCATGTCATATGTAACATTATGCTCAGGAGCAGCCTTCCCCAAGCTGATGCCCTCCACCTATACGTGCTGGAGAACAGCTACCATCATTTCCATTTAGCCATGCTGAGTTGGGGTGATAGGACCTATAGTGTAGGTGTAGGGCATTGGACAGTCTTGGACATCAGTGGCTCCCAAAGTGGCCCATTTAAGGTGGAATCAGGCATCAAACAGGGATGTGTTGTTGCCCCAACTTTATTCTCCATCTTCATCGCTATGATACTTCACCTTGTTGATGGGAAGTTTCCCACCGGAGTGGAAATCATCTATCGGACAGAT